AGTTGAAAGGGAAATTCGACTGACTCACTGGTCCTAAAGTCCAGTCTCTCATGTGTCATGTTTCTCTTCTTTTTGTTTGCTTGGAGACAGGGGCTTGCTTGTGTCTCACAGACTGGCCTGGACCTGACTGTGTGTCCTAAACTCTGATTTCCCTGCCTCTGCTTCCTGCATGCTGGGATTAGTGTGCTCCACATCCCAGCAAAAGCCACAGAGGCTGTTCTGAGGTGTGAACACAGGGACAGTAAGCTTAGATATAATTCATGAGTCATCCTGATGGCGCCCTAGACCAAGGTGAAAATGGCTCAAATTCTTCATCCGTTTCCACTGAGGAGCCAACAGAATTTGCTGGTGAACTGTGTGTGGCCTGTGAAAGGAAGTGTCAGTGAGGGTGGCTATGGGGCTTACCGCTCAAGAAACAGACTGGGGAGCTGGGTTGTTCTTGTGTCCCATAATGGACTCCAGTGAAGAGGGCATGTGCATCTCTCGGTAGGTCTATGCTTGTGTAGTGTTTGCTGGCACCGTCCGTCTGCAGAACCTTGCTGAACTCACTTAGAATTGTGATCATTCCTTGGCGGTTTCTGTATATAACCGTGTCACCTTCTGATGCTTTCAATTTCTTTTATAATGTTTGCATTACTTTGCTTTTGCTCCACACTCTAGGCCTTCATGTGAGGTTGTGTAGAGGTAATGATGGGGTTTTGTGGTCGTTTGTTTTATCTCCTTTCTGTTGGCAGGAACGTGTTCATAGTGTTTCATCATGACACATGTTTGCTATCAGTTCTTTTGGAAGTATTATTAACCCTTAAATCAAATAGGTTCTCTGTGGGTCTCCGTTTGCTCAGGGTTTTTATGACTGGAACAATTAAAAGGTGCTGAAACACCATTTTCATATGTAACTTGAGGATTTTCAGCTCTGTGAGATCCTAAACCCAGCCCATTGTAAATTATCTGAAAAAAAAACCAACATGAAATCAAACTACACTACATGTCTTTAACTATGGAAAAGTAGAAGTAATTTATAGTAAAATGAGCTCCATCCTGTGAGTGCTCTGCGTGACCTTGGTTACCATACACGGTCGTGTCTACTTATGTGCAAATCTGATTTCAGAGTGAGACTTTACTCCTTTAGTGTGCTGATGTGGAGGATGATGGCAAGGTTTGCATTTAGAGCAAACATCTTGGATTAGAGATGGATCATTCACAGTGTCAGGAGGTATCAGCTATGACTAGGACAGCTTCAGGACTTGCGGACGTACTGGCAAAATGAGAACAGTTTTCTGCTGTTGCTCAGGGAAAGGTTACTTACTCAGTGAGTATTTGCTGAGCATCTTCTATGGGAAGGCTGTTTTAATTGTTGGTAATGAAGCTGAATAAAGCAAAGATGTTGCCTTCTCAGAAGTGCTGGATGGAGTGAGCAAACGCAGCACGTAAGACGGTGGCGAGAGTTACAGGGAACAGTAAGGCAAGGCTGCAGGGCACCAAACCGTGTGTGTGTGCGTGCGTGTGTGCGCGCGCCTTGCACACGCTCGCTGGTGAGCACGCTGTGTTGGGTAGGAAGCAAGAAGTCTGAAGGAGTCCATGCTAGGGGCCAAGGGTGAGAGTCCCAGGAGAAGGACAGAGGGCGCCCACATGGTGTAGGAGCTGAGGCCAGCAGGTGTGTGTGGCACCCGCACGTGCCGGCGCTGCGGTGGTGCTCAGCGTCCAGAGCCGGTGCTCACCCTCTTGGTCATCTTTTGAGGTGGGCAGTCCTAGTATCGCTCGACAAAATCCCTGCCAATCTTCAAATCCTGCACCATCTGTCTGCTCAACCATGGAAGGGATGCTTGTTTTATCACAACTCAAGATGTATCGTTTCGTTCCACTCAGAGGGAATTAGGAGGGCTGCTATTAGCAGTGGGCTTCAGACTGTAATTGTCTACAGTTCTTCAAATGTTAGTCTACATGTTACAGGGTAAATACAGGCTTTGGAATTTCATGAGTGGGAAACAGTCCCAATTATGTAAAATGGGTATTATTCATTCGTGCCTTTTGTTTATATTACTTACTGAAGCTTTTGTTTTATTTTGTTGTTCATTTCCTTAGTTAATAATACCTTTATCAGGAGCATGAACTCATTTTCAGTGTTTGAACGACGAACTTATTGTCCTAGATTTGTGATGGCTGTAACACAAGTGAGCGGTTGCAAACTGAGCGCATTGTTGGGTGTCGTCTGTTGTACAGGTGTAGACAGTGTTACTATGGAATTAATAAACTGAGCGCATTGTTTGGTGTTGTCTGTTGTACAGTAGTAGTCAGTGTTACTATGGAATTAGTAAACTGAGCGCATTGTTGGGTGTCGTCTGTTGTACAGGTGTAGTCAGTGTTACTATGGAATTAATAAACTGAGCGCATTGTTGGGTGTCGTCTGTTGTACAGGTGTAGTCAGTGTTACTATGGAATTAATAAACTGAGCGCATTGTTGGGTGTCGTCTGTTGTACAGGTGTAGTCAGTGTTACTATGGAATTAATAAACTGAGCGCATTGTTGGGTGTCGTCTGTTGTACAGGTGTAGACAGTGCTACTATGGAATTAGTAAACTGAGCGCATTGTTGGGTGTCCTCTGTTGTACAGGTGTAGTCAGTGTTACTATAGAATTAGTAAACTTATGGGACATTGTGTCACCCTCTTTGTCCTCGGTGCTATCTGCTCTAGGGCTTTGGAGTTTGTATATGCATTTATGATTGCCTAATGCAATGCTATGAGATAAGGTTCCGATCCATGAAGTAAGTACTGTTGCCTATAAGCACTTCTCATCCGAATGTCATTCTGTCTGAAATTGTGGACTACTTTATTAGCTTAGGTGACAGTCATTTTGCAAGTCCCAGAGAGTAGCCCTAGAGTGGCTGAAGTGTGATGTGTTGAAAATGAGTTGTACAGGTCTTTTGATCTGGTCGTAAAATGACAGAGCCATCCATGCCCAGCAGTGTCCCTTTGGTACGTTGGAATCTGCAGACATGACTGTGTGTGAAGGAGGGAAGCTGAGATAGTTTGAACTATGTAACAGTGAGAACAGAGAGATCCACACATCATGGCTGGGGCGTAGATTTTTCTCTCAGCCTGGCTTAGGCCCAGAGTCCAGTTCCTTCCTTTGCTAGCTAGTGACTTGGTGTGCTGATGTCTCTGTGCACAGTCACTCACCTGGAGTTGGGCTTCTGACCACACTCATCTCGGGAATGAATCTTTGGAAGCGCTTGGTGTTGTAGCATCTGTAATTACCTCACAACCATCATCATTGTGGCTTGTCTTTGTTGTTACTAAACGAAAGACACTTAAAAATTATTGTAGGGCCAAGATCACATACTCAAGATACTGTCCGTGCCCCTTTGGGGACAGGGGTACATAGGACAGATGGGACATGAAAGGAAAGGAAAAGCAAGTCTCTCTCTTGGATCCTGGTCGCGAGGACATTAGAGCTCTTCTCAGTGAGTGAGTTCTGTATTCAATAAAGTATCCTAGACCTCCTTTTCAAGTAACATTGTTTATCATCGTCAGCTGGTGTCAGGAGTGATTGGCCCAGATCCCAAAACTCAGGCTCAGTGAGGCGAGCCCCCGGGTGCCTCAGTGTCCCGAAAAGCGGCAGCCTCTTTTTGGTTTGCGTCTTTGAACCCTCCACCCTGCCATCCTGCTTAGCTGTGTAGAGCAGAGCTACCAAATTTGTTCGTAGAGGTGTTTTTTTCTGCGCACTCCAGCTTGGGAGCAATACTAGCCCCGATACTAATTAAGGAAGAAATACCCTTCTCATGGTAAAATCCTTGAAGCTAAAGAGATTACAAATAAAATAACTTTCTATAAGATCTTAGCAGACTACCTTAATTAAAATATTTCAGTTACTTCAGAATACCTAATTAAATATGTTAATGGAAGTAATCTGAGAAGTAGAGCTTTGTTCCCTTATACATGTGACATCATTCAGTGTCTAAAAGTAGAATGGTAGAATTAATGGTGGTAGCGGCTATGTTACAATATTGTACTGTTGGTCTGATAACCAGGGCTGAGAGGTTGCTCGGTTGGTAAAGGGCTTGTCCTGCAGTGTGAGGAATTAGTCTTCAGCACCCACATAAAAGCGCAGCCACAGGGGCATGTCCCGTAGTCCCAGCACTGGGAGGCTGAGACAGGAGGGCCTTTGGGGCTTCCTAGTATCTGATCATCTAACCATGTCAGTGAGCTCCAGGCTCAGTGAGACCCTGACTAATAAATAAGTAGAGCATGACTGAAGAAGACATTCGACATTAATCTACACACACACACACACACTCTCTCTCTCTCTCTCCCACAGATCTTACAACCAACTAGACAAGTGGATTTTTAAATGTCTACTTAGTGTTTGAATCTCAAGTCTCATATCATGATAATAATAAAAAGACACAGTCCTTAAACTTCTTTTTATGGTCATTTTGTCTTAGCACAGGGTGTCCACTTTGTAACCCAGGTTTACCAGGGACTTGCTGTGTAGTCTAACTTAAGCTCCTCCTGCTTCTGCCCCCGGGCTCTGGGGCAGCAAGCTTGGGCCACCCCACTGCTCTGAAAAGCATCTCTTCTCTCATAGAGACTGCCAGTTTTCTTAGAGAATGTCAGCCTGGTTTTTTGTGTCACATAATTTTTTTAAATCAGTGTTTAAAAACACTGTTTCCAGAGATGCAGGTTGACATATTGCTATTAAGAATGTGTGGATTTGGTTTGAGGAAATGGAAATGCTAATTGCTTTAATTTATCATTACACTTTGTAAACATGTATTGAATTATCACCCTTTACTGCATTTAATTTAAAAATGGCAGCTTTGAGTTATCATGAAATTGTTGCAGGTGAGAAGATGAATCTGTAGGTCAGATTTCTCTCTAAGGATCATTTTCTAAAACAGCTGATTTATGAAAATTAGAATCAGCCATTACATTTCAGCTTCTGGATTAAGTGTCATATTAACCAGATATGTACATAATATATACAACCTATTTTTATAAAGGTTCAGAGGTCCAAAGAAATGACATCCTGTGGATAGCCATGGCCGGGACTCATCAGATATGGGCACTCCTCCTGGACTCTGGCTCACTGCCAAAGAAAAGGTAAGTGGGTGTCCCCCTTGGGGTCCCTCACCAGGTCACCATCCCCACAGCAGCACCTGCTGTACCTGCCAGGGTATGCTGGCCACACACACAGAAAACTTGGAGCAGGGTTCCTTGTTCACTCTAGAAGATTCACTGGGGAGCACTGGTCAGAGGCTGAGGAAGCAGCTGCTGTCAGGGGCTCTTCTGCAGAGGTGCGGGAGGGAGGGGGGTGAGTCACTAACCATCTCCCAAATCTGCCGCTCAGAAATGACATGCATCTGCTGGAATTGATTTCATCAGCCATGGTTAAGCTTTGGGACTGCATCTAATTTCTGAGAGCCTGCGGGGGGGGGGGCGCAGGCGTTCTTCTGGGTGCTAGGGAGAACTAGAAATGTTAGCGGACTTCAATCCTCTGCAGTGTGAACACAGCGCAGGTGTCTGCAGTGTGAACACAGCGCAGGTGTCTGCAGTCGCTCCCTCAGGTGCTTGAGGGCTGCACTGCAGTGGCCACCACTCAGGTGTATTCGGGCCTGCAATGGAATCCTAGCCGCTACTTAGAGTAAGCACAGCAGAGCCCCTTCACTCTGCATTTCCCATCCCTTCACGGGATTGCCCTGTGAAGAATTAGGCGTAGCATTGGCGCATTCAGTAAGCACAGGTATACGCTACCCCTGTTGGGCATGTGAGGCTAGGAGAGCACTGTCTGCACGCCTCCCTCTTCTCCCTCAGCCTCAGGAGAGCAGTGTCTGCACGCCTCCCTCTTCTCCCTCAGCCTCAGGAGAGCAGTGTCTGCACGCCTCCCTCTTCTCCCTCAGCCTCAGGAGAGCAGGGTCTGCACGCCTCCCTCTTCTCCCTCAGCCTCAGGCAGAGCTGGCCACACTCTCCTCGGTGGCTTCACTGTGCGCCACTGCCTTCTCCCCTCCCTCTTCTCTTAGGTCACGCCTATTTGTTACTGTTTCTTCTTTCTAGACTGCCTCTTAAAGAAAGGGGCCTTGTCCCGTTATTATTGTGTCTTCTGTGCCTACTACCGTAAAGCTTATAGAATAAACAAGCAGATGGGTTGAAGTCTGCCCTGGTGAGGTTTCTGTTGTTGAGATAAAGCACTATGGTCAACTCTGGCTTGGGGAGCAAAGGGTTTACCTCAGGTTACAGGTTATGGTCTGTCGTGGAGGAGTCTGAGGAAGGGACTCAGCAGAGCCACTGGGGAATGCTGCTTGCTGGCTGGCCCAGTTTGCTTTCTTATGCACTCCAGGCCCACATGCTCCTCCCACATGCTGGGCCCTTCCGTTTCGTATCAGTCAAGAAGATGGAAGTTTTCACGGTTGAAGTTCCTTCTTCTCAAATGACTCCAGCTTGTGTGGAGCTGACAGAAACCTGACTAGGGCAGAATCGTAGACCATGAAGTGTTATACGACCATGGAAAGTCAGCGCTACTCATCACAGTTATGGTGTCTGCTTGTGACAAGGCTTCTGTGTGTGGCCTTGGCTGTCCTGGAACTCGCCCTGTAGACTCAGAGATCTGTCTGCCTCTGCCTGCTGAGTGCTAGGATTACAGATGCCACCAGTGCTGGGCTCATCTGTTATCTTTATCAGCAGAAAGGGACAACTGTCTAGCAAATCAAGATCTCAGATGTCCAGGGGTGGGTGCAGAACGCATTTGTGTGATGTTTTGTGACCAGTCATGCATCTAAAACAGTGGTTCTCAACCTGTGGGTCTCAACACCTTTGGTCCAATGACCCTTTCACAGGGATGGCCTAAAACCATCGAAAACACAGGTGTTTACATTATGATTCATAGCAGTAGCAAGTTCAGAGTTACAAAGTAACAGTGAAAATAGTTTTATGGTTGAGGGTTACCACAACATGAGGTACTGTATATATTAGGAAGGCTAAGAACCGCTGATCTAAAACATATCTACTTTTACTAGGCCCTGTGTTAGACAACAGAGATGAATAATAAGCTCTCTGTTAAAGATAAAGTGAAGACATGCCCAGTCTCAGAAGAATTAGATCAGCAAACTGAAAAGTACAGAAGTCGCATGTCATTGGAGCCTCAGAAGCAGTAGTTCATGCTGAGCGTTTCACACACAGGCTCTGAAGGTCACGGAAGACTTGTGCAGTGAGGTTTTCTGGGTCCCTGCTGGTGCCTGTAATGTCAGTGCACACGTAGGTCCTTGTCGCCTTGAGTCCTTCCTGCTAAGAGATTGGAACATCCCAAAGGCTGATGTAGAAAGACCTGAGCTGGGAAGTGGAATGTTCAGACCTGTACTCTGGAAAGAACCTTCTAGCATTCATAGTGGACCTTCTGTGTGATGTGCCAAATTTGGAGATGGAGTACACCTAGTCTCCTGAAGTCAGCTTCCTCTTTCTGACAATGGTGTCTTTATAATAATCCTTTTGGCATAGATTTTGAAGTCAAGGTGTGTAAATGCGCATTCTTCCGGCCAACCTGACCCCAGAGTCGCATCAACTCCAAATAACACACAGAGACTCTATTAGCTACAACGCTGTCGGCCAGTGTTCAGGGCTTCTCATTGGCTAGTTCTGTCCTAAGTATTAACCCATGACCACTAATATATATAGTTCTATAAGATCTTATCTTTCCTGGGATGCCAGACGCTTGTGTCCTCTCTTCCCAGGATCTCATAGTGACTCCCCACTATGGACTACATTTCCCAGAATCCTCCTCCACTCCTAGTCCCACCTGTCTTGCTTCCCTGTTGGCCACCAGTGCTTTATTTACATATGCTCAGAAGGACTTCCCCCATCAAAGGTGTAAACTTGCCCTGCATCATAAAAGGCATCATTGCCGTGGTCCTTTTCAGCAACTGCAGCTGTGACAGCTGTGCGCCTCAGGCCTGTGCTTCAGTACTCTAAGTGGGCGTTTCCCGGTGTGTAGAAGAAATGGGTTTTGTACAGTTGATTGTTCAGTGCAGCCGTCCTTGTGTCCCTTTTCTGAAAATGGTCATCTTCAGCCTGGCTTTCTTAAAACAACTATTCTCTGCTTTATAGAAGACACAGACGTTTTTAAAGACAATTAAAACTTTATCAAAAACTGAACAGTCTCTTTATTAATAAATTCCCTTCTAGAACCTGATATTGTATGAGAATAAAATCATCTCACTGTTATCTCCTGACAGCCTGCTTTCATGCCCTGGTATTCAGGGTGACTTGAGTGGTTAGTGTCCCGCAGAGAAGTGAGGCAGGCCTCCGTGGCACTCCCCTAGAGCGCGCCTGGACAGATGCAGTGGAGGGCGGCAGGCGTCACTGGTTCTGTGGTCTGCTGACTGTGCTGTCACCATCCATTTGGTCATTTGCGTTCCTTTAGTCACTGTGGATTCCCACCTGTGCTTGTCTTCCAGTGAGCTAAAAAAGGGGACCTGCCTTCGTTTTGCTGGGAGTGGAAATGAAGAGAACCGAAACAATGCATATCCTCACAAGGCGGGTTTTGCCCAACCCTCAGGCCTCTCTCTGGCCCCAGAAGACCCCTGGAGCTGCCTCTTTGTGGCAGATAGCGAGAGCAGCACAGTGAGAAGCGTCTCACTCAAAGATGGAGCGGTGAAGCACCTTGTAGGAGGAGAGCGGGACCCCATGGTAAAGAAGTCACTGTGTGTGCTTTCCTGCACTGAGTCGTTCATGACATTTAGGAGGCTCACTCTTGTCTGTCCGTGATAGAACGCAGTCAAACCAAAGCAAGGTGTCTGTAAAGAAACACAAGAGAAACAAGCCCTGGGGGGGGGTATGACTGACTCTGCCCGTTACACACCCATGCTGAGGCTCCCAGGGACAGGAAAGATAAAGTAGCTGCTGACAGGAGAGATGGGAGAGAGGTTGCTTTAGGGGTGTAGCTGTGGATTGGAAGGAGCACTAGACTTGGCCTCTTCCTGAGCAGATAGATGTTGGACTGCTGTGAGGGAAACAGCAAGGCAGCTAATAGAGGTAGTCCAGACGCCTCTGCTGCGGCTCTCCAGTCTGCGCCACGTGCCCAGCTCTGCCATGCAAACCAGAGCTCCCTCAGGCTCTGTCGTGCAAACCAGAGCTCCCCTTAGGCTTTAGTAACACGATGACCTTAGTTTTCACTTTATCTCCTAACAAAACACTAAAATAATCGCTGTTTCTTTCTCTTTAAAAAAATAAAATAAAAGAATTTATTTGCTTTTGGTGACATTGATGGAGCAGGCATCGACGCGAAACTTCAACATCCACTTGGGGTTGCATGGGACCAGAAGAGGGACCTGCTGTATGTGGCGGACTCCTATAATCACAAGGTGAGTCTTGGCTAAAGATACAGCACCTTGCTTTTGACCCAGGTGCCTCCTACCAGTGCCTCTCGAAAATATAGAAAGCAGCTGTGGCTCTCAACGCTGCCCAGCTTGTCCTGGGCCTTTCTTGCCTTCTGATGTCTGTACTGAGGACAATGCTAAGCTAATTCCTGTGGCTGTGACATAGATGTATGAGCTGTGACTCATCAAAGCTGCTCGGTAGAGAAGTCAGGAACAAGGGAAGTGTGGACCAGCTGGTGTAGTTTCATTTTGTTGCGGTAGTAAAACCGACCATAGGCAGTTAGGAGGGAGATTTAGCTGACTCACACTTCCAGGTGAAGACCATCATGGAGAGCAGTCAGGGCAGGGATGGAAGCGGGTCTGCTTGCCTTCTTTTTTGTTGACTAGATTGTCAGGTCAGCAGTTAAAGCTAGCTGGGACGCTGGAAGAAGAAGATTTTTGAACTATTACACAGTTACAAAGACCACGAGCAAATGCACCCTCTTCCATCTGGGCGTTTCCATTCTTACTGCAGAGTCCTTTGCCATGCGATGAGCAGCCATAGACTTCTTGCGCTTGAGACGTAACTCTCAGGCTTTGCGTTAAGAAAAGTAGTGATCGATCCTCGGGCAGTGATCTCAGGAAGACAGGTTAACTGTGTTCCATTATGGGGGTGGGAAGGGGAGCTATTTTTAATTCCAGGAAAAAAAGAACCCTGAAATTAACAAAACATGGTCTAAAACTAAGATTTTCTAAAGGTTTTCCTCAGATGAAATATTTTCCCTTCCATAATATACTTTGTTGGGGTTTTAGGAAACTATGGAAATATCCATTATTCTGAGATGTATTTACTAAGAGTGCAAATGGCAACTGGGAGTCCTCTGTTTCCCTCTACTGCTGTAAACAGGGCTGACTGCAGGGCAAATGTTTGTTCATTTTTCTTTAGATTAAAGTTGTAGATCCAAAAACAAAAGTCTGCACAACGCTAGCGGGAACCGGAGTTGCAAACAATGCTGTTTCCAGTTTTGTGGAGTCGGCCTTTAATGAGCCTGGAGGCTTGTGTGTCGGTGAGAGCGGTCGGCTGTTGTATGTAGCAGACACCAATAATCACCAGATCAAAGTGATGGACCTGGAAACGAGGACAGTCTCTGTGGTGAGTCTCTTAGACACGGCTGAGAGGCGGGGCTTCAGGGTTAAAGCGTTGGCTTGGCCATCTCTGGTGTGCACTGGGCACATGGAGAGCCGGAGTCGGAAGTGGATGCCCGCATTGTGTTCTGGGACAAGCAGACCAGGGGCCTGCTTTGCAGGTCTCCTGCGAGTCTTGAGATGCAGTTTCCATCCTCTCTGAGCGTTTGAGGAAAAAACTGGAATTTACAGAGTTGATATGTTTTTAAAGGCGTAGAAGTCATGGCACATACTGTATTTTGTATCATGTGGACCTATTGTTTTATTCAGTGATCCTTATGTTATTTTTGGCATCTTCTGGGGGAGTTTCTATAAGTCACAGCTCCCCAAACTCTGAAAACGAGATAGACTAGAGAAAACTTGACTAAATTCACATCTATTTTCAAAGAGAAATGTCTGTTGTCCACTGCTTTTTAATGTCCTGCTTACCTGGGATGGGGGATGTTTTATTTTTTAAGAGGCGTTTTATTTTAAAATAAAAACCACAGAGTGGCATCAAAGGTATCTTGTGTGGATGTTTCTTGGCAGTGGAGGTTATGAGCATGCATCATACTCACTATCCTTAAATTCCTAAAATGTTACTTTAACTTCCTGCCATTTGTAAGCCGGGGGTCAGTGGTTTAACGCTGTCCTCACAGGTGACCTGTCTGCTGAGGCGGGCTGGGTTTCCACACTCTGGGAAACCCTGATGCATGTCGCTGATGGAGAGCTTCAGCTCCCTGCCCCTGTCTGAGGCGAGGCTCTACAGTGGTCTTAAAGATGCTTCTGCTTAAATAACCCGTCCTCCGGTCTTGTAGCTCCCAATCCTCAAGCCTGGCAGTGTCGTGGTCGACGGCGCCTTCCCGACAGAGAAACAGAAGACAGTGCCCAAAGTGCCCAAGGCTGCCCCAAACATTGAACTCACCCCTGTGGCTGTGCGTCCTGGCCAGACTCTGCAACTCAAGCTCAAGCTGGACCTTCCTCCAGGAGCAAAGCTGACAGAAGGCGTGACAAGCTGCTGGTTCCTGACTGCTGAAGGTGGGGCGGAGTTCTGCAGACACTGAAGTCCTGGGCTGAGCTCATGTTTTGTTATGTATTTTACTGTATGTTTGGGAAAGATTTGAGGGAAATGATGTGAAAAAAATGTGAATCTAGCTAGGACCCCAGTTTGATATTTTCCTCTTGGCCTTTGCTATTTCTTTTTCCCTTCCATTGAGTTGGTGTGGCCCAGGCATCTCTGACAACATGGTCTCTGGGAATCACACTTGCCTGCACGTTTGCCTTATTCAGTCTGCTTCTTGCTGTCCCCAAAAAGAGCCACTTAAAGTCTCATCTGCAGTCCCAGCACTCAGGAGACTGAGATAGGAGGACTGCAAGTTTGCGGCTAGCCTGAGCTACATAATGGTTTCCAAGCCTGTCAAAGAAATCAAAAATGAAATAAGTTGGAAGTCCGATGAGGAGATGAAGTGGAGCTTCCTTGTTTGTTCGCTTTTTTTCTGTGGCTCTTCCTTGGCGGCCCTTGGGTGACTCGGTGTCCTGCCTGCTGCTAACTGTTAGACTCTTGTACACAGTGGAGAACAGGTCTCAAATGAGGTCCTGGGTCCAGAACTCTCAACGCAAGACTTCTTGTCTCAGATGAGCGTCCTCTGCCCTAGTCTCCATGCTCTCCCTCACGTCCTCTCAGTCTCCATTTCTGTAGTCCCGTCTCTCTCGTGCCCTCTCACACACTTCTTGTTCTGTATGTTACCCCAGTCCTGGCCTCGTGCCTGCTCACCTTCAGTCTCAGGCAGAAGCTGCCGGTTACAGTCTGGACTGGCCCGGGACACTCCTGAGCACAGCTGTGCAAACCTAAGCCACAGCCGCTCTCTGGGCTCCAGGAGGCCAGGAAGGGTCCAGCTATTCTGCCTGTGTCGAGCATAGCAAAGCAGCTATGGGGATCACAGATCACATACTTACTGTAAGATATTGACAATTAGCCTGTTTTGTGTTGTTTTTGTTTTTGTTTTGCCATTCAAGAGGGTTTCTCTGTGTATCCCTGGTTATCCTGGAACTTATTCTGTAGGCCAGGCTAGCCTCAAACTCAGAGATCCGCTTGCCTCTTCCTCCCAGATGCTAGTCTACAGGCGTGTGCCAACAGGGCCTGGTGGTGACAGTTAACTTTTTTAATGGTGCCTTCTTAAACATTCAAATAATTAAATTCTGAGTCATGATCCTTTGAAGTGAAGATGACATTAAGTGAAGGAGTCAAATACTTAGATGCTTGGTTATCTGTCTAAAATATGGGCTCTGTTTTTACTATATAGGGCAAATAAGCTTTTCGGCAAGAGTCCTACTAATTCAAAGATTCTGAAGGTACGATAAAGCCCATGTCTGCACGGAAGGGTAGAAGAAACTTGCTGATTGAGAGTCTTTTCTTAGAGTTTTCTCATTTCTCACTCATGTCTTTTCAATGTGTGTGTGTACATCATGTGTGTGAATGTCCACGTGGCATGATTACACACATATGTATAGGTGTACATGCACATGTCTTGTGTGGGCAAGTCGTTACTACCTCGTGTCTTCTTGGACCTCTCCCCACCTAAAATGTGGAGGAAGGGTCTGTCACTAAGCCCGAGCTCAGTTGTGAAAAGCCTGACTGGCCAGTGTGTTGGGGATGCCCGTCCTCTGGGATGACAGGTGGGTGTGGCACACACCCAGCATGTAGGTGAGTTCTGGGGTCTGAACTTCGGTTCTCACACTTGGTGGCGAGTGCTTTGCCCAGAGCTGTGGCCAGCCTCCTGTGTTTTCTGTAGTGTTTATGATATTCTCTCCTGTTTTCTAGGCAATGAGTGGCTTCTTCAGGAACAGATCCCATCTGGAGACATAGAGAGTATTTCCAGTCAGCCCACAATTTCACTGCGGATTCCTGCCGATTGCCTGTCACTTGAAGCTGTGATATCCGTCAGCGTGTTTCTTTACTACTGTAGTGCAGACAGTAGTGCGTGCATGATGAAGGCAATCTTGTTCAGGCAGCCTTTGCACATAACTGATACCCAGCCAGGCTGTGGAGTTCCCGTAGAGCTCACACATGTGTTCTAGAGAGCCAGCCAGAAGGAGGCCGCTCACCACAGCCCTCACCACAGCCACCACCACAAAGCCCCATCCATCCTCCATCTGTCGTTTAGGGAGAAAGCATTACGGAAGCCCATTGCTCAGTTGTGACAACTGACACCAAAATAAAGTTGTGCTCCTTATTAACATTTTAATTCTAAACAAATTTCTTCATTTCAGCTGTGTACTAGCCGGGCAATGCCCATCATTTAAACCACAGTAATGTAAGCTTTGCTGCTCTCGGCACAAGGCTGCAGTCCAGGCTGTCTTAGATGATACTGTGATTTTCAGTCAATACCAATGACACCAGGGGTTTTAAGTGACCTCTTCTGCCTTGTCAGTGGCAGTAAGCCCACCTCGTGTGTGACCGTCACAGTAACTGGACGGCCCTCAGCTGTGCACCTTTATGTGAGACGCCTCCAGTTAGTGTCTAAGGTCTGCTTGAAGCCGCAACAACAAACACTATGCTCACTAGAAGCTGAAAGCACACGAGAGGTCACTGATTATCTCTTCTGTGTTTTTTCAAATCTGAGGTATTTTTAAAAGAGAGTTTTGATCTATTTTTATTATAAATTATTTGTTTTAACATGCCATTATTAATGCCTTATAACTTTATACAGAGAAACAATTTCTAAGGGCATGAAGACCTATTCTTAACTATTTTTCAAATGAACATATTCCTAACAGACAATGCCTAGATCCCCAGAGACACGCTGACTTTTGAGGTGGGGTTCAGGCTATGTTGCTGTGTGTGATAGTTTATTGTAATGGTGGAACTTGATATAAGTGAGTATTGTGTTGTTTTGGGAATTTACATTTCAGTTTTAAGACTTAAATACAGATTTATTGAGTTCGGTTTTTTTTTTTTGTTATTGTTTGGTTACCATATTTAGAATTTAAATTATGATCGTTAATTCTGATATTTTGAAAACTCACATGTAAACCTTCAAATTGCTGTTATCAATGTAAAATATTTTAATGCAGTTGACAGGTGTAGTTAAAGTATTAGGGCTGAAACACAGTGATTTGCTGACTCTTGTGGTATTTGTTTTCTTTAGCCTTATAAGAAGCATCACTAAAAGGGTTAGTGGAGAGTGTGATTCTCGGTGTCACTGTGACTATCATAGATTATCATCATAACTGTAAAGCCCATTTGCTTGTTTAAAACAGATTCGGTGTATGTTTTTATTTATTCAGATTAAGAGATTTCAGAAACATCTGTTGAACCCCGCCTATAAATTCACTAAGTGTGTGTAGACAGTCTGGCATAGCATGCCTTCCTTCCCCAAAAGTGCTGGATACAAAGTGTAATTATCTGCTGTCATTCTACACGTGTATTGATTGACTTTTGAAGTAGTATTGACATGCAATATTTGTTTGATTATTGAGTTAGCTAAAACCTCTCTGAAGGAATAACACAGATCATGACTTTAGTTAGCAACCTGCAAAAGTTGCTTTCAAGAGAAATGTGAAGGGAAAGCGAAAGGGACCTTGGTTGGAGTCACACGGGTCACCTCAGAAGCCCTGGCTTCCAGAACTGGCCTCCACGGAGGCTCTGTAGCCACAGTCTGAAGCTGATGTGCCGCAGTGAGTGTGTTCCAGCCTCGTTTGAATCACTCTAGAACAGAGCATGTCCAGTTTAACTGAGGTAGAAGCGATGGTCATTTATTTCCACTCTAAAAGCACAAGTGTGTATTCTGTACTTCCGGGTACCCTAAAGATCCCCAAGTCCTCTGTAGAATGCGTTGGTTTTCCCTTCATCTGGGCAGAATCGTAGTTCAGTCTTTCCTCAGAGACTGGTTAGGTTAGTCTTCAGAGTGGTTCCTTGATCTTCCAAAATACAGTTTGACTTCTCGCTCTCAGCCCTGCCTTTCCATGGTGGAGTTTACACTAAAATATCATTGGTGATGGGTTAGTACAGACTTAGAGAACTCACACTGAGCAGTGCACGTAGGTTCCCAGATTCATGGCTGACATCAGTGTCTCACGAGGAAACACTGGAAGTTCCTCTTAGAAACTTCAGGGTCTACAGCAGCCTCTGTTTTCTCTGTGAACTTTTTAATTTTTATGGCCTGTCTGCTTGTGACTCATACCACTGAGATAAGGGGTTTGGGCCTATTTTTTGCAAAGTTGGAAATTCGGGGAACATAATGAAAATGTGTAACTATAATTTTCCACATATTCAGAACTGCCTGTTAGTTTTTGTCTGTCAGCTGAAGAGACTTCGGCTTAACTGTTGCCTTTGGCAGGATGTTTAAGTCCAGTCACCAAAGACTAGAGTTGTACCTCAGTAGGAGGGCTTTTGCTTGGTATGTGCTGAGATCCTGAGTTCAGTCCTTAGAGGGGGGAGAATCATCGAAAGCCAAGTTCTGTAGTGCACAATCACATAAAACTATTTGCAGTAGGACTTATTAGCAATACTTCTAAATGAGCCAACGGTGGTGTTTCGTTTAGTTCTACTTCTCTGTTTTTCAATGATCAGTACCCAGGAAGAAATCTATTGTTTTTGAGACAATCTGAGTTGTAAGCAGTAAGGTAATGGCTTTTCTAAAGCCTCTTGTGTTAGCAAAGATGGGGCATGGGTTAGAGTCCTTCCTGTAATTTACCAGGCTCCCTTAAAGTGAGTTGTGAGGACAGGAGTGATTACTGTGTTCTGGGCATGTAGCGCAGTGTGGTGGCGGGGTATGGACTCTGCAACTGCATCTAACCCTAGAAAGCAGGGCTGCCTGGGCTTGCTGCCACGGTTCAGTGAAGTGTTCACATGGCATTTAGCACGGAGTAATTTATGAACTGCTACTCATCAGTTTAGTTACTAATAATGACAATAATTTATGGCCACAGACACGTGCTTGACATTTTCTTCACAACTCCAGTTTCTAAAGCAAAATATTTCTTCTCCATTTGACATGTTAGCCGACCCAATAGAATCTGGACTCAGAAGAAAAAGAGCACTTCTGGTAGGATGGGTCGCCATCTCGCAAACACTTGCTTATAAAAAAGCAGCCCCCTGCTATAGAGAAGCATTGAAAACGACCTTGTGCAGATTTCACCAATAAATGTGTTCCATAGAGAACCCAGACACAGCTGGAGACCTCACCACACTCTTGCAGCTTGTACAGCAAGCGTCAGACTAGCCTGAGCATGCTGGAGGGTGTTGTCACCCTAGGAGGGTACTGCCACCCTGGGACTCTGTTGTCCAGGATCTTAAAGTGCTTTCACAGATGTTCCCCGGGGTGGGCTCCAGAACAACATACAGGCCTGATAGGCGTGTGCCGTGCAGAGAAAGGAGCTGCTCTGGCGTATTGGTAGCCTGTGTGCAGGTAGGGAAGCCCCTGGGATAGAGCCCAGTACCAGAACAGGACCTAGAAGGTGGGTGTGCTGGGCTTCCTTGAGTGACTTGTGTGGAGTGGAGAGCCTGCTGGAGGAGGGGTGCCTCTGTGTCCCCTCCTCGGGCCTTTAGGACAAGGGCAGGACGTTGCGCCCACTGAGTTCTTCGCCTGCTGGCACTTCCCCTCACGCTCTGTGTGTCCACCATGTGTCCACCACAGCCTCACAGGAGGAAGTGGCGGAGCCCGCACAGTTGTCTGCCCGCTGCCTGCTGTATGTCTTCTCAGACGTGCATAGTTCACATATTTCACGCCTCTGTGTAGTAACTTACCAATCCAGAGAATTCCAGGAGCCCTGAGAGTGATTGCTTTTGAAATTCAAATGATGCCATTTAAGTTGCATGACTTTCCATAGACTCTTACCACCTGGGTCTTGGAATGGTATGTGTAATTGTTATTTCCCAGAGGGTTTTCGAGGCCCCTAATTTCAGCTGTTTACCCTGTTTTTCTCTCGGCATGTATGCGTACAGAAACACCAGTCAGTTCCAGCAGGACTGCCCAAGTGGCCTTGTCATGGAGAGCAGCGGGGCTAGTGCAGTCCCTGAGAAGTTCACTCATTTGAGACGATGAGTTTTGTAAACCAAAGCAAGGTGTAGAAGTATGAAGTCCTCTGCCACCCCTAGAGACTCAGAAGCCATTCCTGAGGCCAGCTCGGCATCGTAAGGCAAACCGCTGCTTGCCAGGGATGCTTCCGGTGGGCAGCCCAGTGCAAGCTAAGCTGCACGGCAGTGGTGCATGCTGTGCCGCAGACGCCATTGCTGGCGTCCATGTGACGCCTGTCTGATCTTGGCCGTGATAGTGGTAGCATGCCTTGAGGTGGACCCCAGTGCTAATCACCAAGATTGCTTTCCCACCGCCCAAGCCACATAGCTCACGTGAAAACTTGGCACTCACCCTGAGCCCTGTTTCACCCTAGCTTTAATGAAGTTTGCCTTTCTCTCGTTTCTTCGCAATAGGGCAACAGGAAGAATGGCCGTGAAAGCCACGGCTGTGGTAATAGAACCACGTGGCCTTCTGTGACTGATAACCCTCGGCCCCTGCTTTTGCTGACTTGTGATGTAGACTGGTGCCCCAACTCTCAGATGACCGTAGAGAGAGCGCGGGCCGGGAGGGGAACAGGGTACAAACTCTCCCTCAGGCTTTTCTAGCACAGCGCTTACCCTAGTATGCTGCTTCCATTTAATCATTGCCAGAGGTTAGAGATGAAAAGCTAAAGCCCGAGATCCTTGTGGAATGTGTGCCGCGATGTGCTTACTCATTCTCCGTGCGTGCCCCCCCCCCCCCCGCATGTCACTCCGGTGTGCCTGTGGCCATTCTGCAGTTGACAGGCTACTGAAAAGAACTGTGAGTGTTTTCGAGTGCACTCCCCTGCGCACATCAGCCTGGGGTTACAAGTGAGCACCAAGCCAGCAGCTCGTGGCAAAAGTGTTGTCGGTCCTGCCTGAGAAACGGGCTTGAGCAAAATTGCTTTTAAATATTAAGTCTGAAGCTGTTAAGTGTAGACAAGTCCTTGGTACTCTTAGGGTACTTAGTTGCAGCTTTCCACTTAAAATAAAAAAGGAGGGTCAGGATTCTCTGAGATACAGACAGTTCAAAGTGAATTATTATATACCTAGTTTCATGAGAAAATGTTGAGATAAATAAGACGTAAGAGAAAAGTACACAAGTCCCTAACAGAGCCATTGAACCACGTTCTATCTTTAAAATTAGTTATTTTTCTTTGTAGTTCCACATAAGGTGGTTTTTGTTTGCATAGAGTTAGAATGTATTGCTGATGCGGGCCTGTGATGTCATCATGGCAGTTTACCTGCAAAAAACTAAGCCAGCGCCCCTCGCGGCACTTGACTTCCACCCGCAGAGCAGCTGTCGTTCCTGGAGAACCTTCGCTAAGGAGCCAGGGTTCCACAGAGAGCTGAGTGGGGAGAGCGCATTGGGTGGTTATTTCTCTAGAGTCCCTAGTAATGTCTCAGCTTTCAAAGGCAGGGAACCAGGACCCTGTTGTTGGAGTTTCTTTTTCACCAGGTCTTGCCTAACCCAGAGCCTCTTCACCCCAAATAAACACACAGACATTATATTAATTATAAAAGTGTTGGCCCATGTCTAGGGCTTCTTATTAACCCATTCTATTAATCTAGGTATTTCCACCTAGTCTTTATCTTACCAGAGAAGGGTCCGGTTCTGTTACTCCTTCCTACGCTACATGGTGTCTCTTTGTGATTTCTCTCTGCCTACCTTTCCCAGAATTCCCCTCCTCTCCTAGCCCCGCCTATCTTCCTGCCTCTATTGGCCAGTGTTTTATTCATCAACCAATAAGAGAAGCATCATCACCTGTGTGACTTCAAATTAACGTGTCTGCTTTGCAATAAAACTTGCTAATGTACATGGACTGATAGTGTAGTTCTAGATCCCTGGGTAGGAGTGCGTGGAGAGCCCGTGCCGACACCGTTACTGTCATTGCTTCATGCTTGCAATGTATTCAAGATTTCCATCTGTCTATCATTTCCTCAAGATACGTTTCCTAGAGGCACGTGTCACATTAGAGACTCTTCCCCATCTTGTGTGGATAAATGTAATTTCATTTGTGAGACTAGAGGTAGTCTGCCATGATGACATCATGCCTAAACAATACAAGTTCTAGACATGGTTTAGTCCTAAAAGAATTTGCCTGCTGTGCATTATTAAGTGTTTAATATAGATGGATTAATATATTTTTATGCAACTAGTATTTTACATTTATTTTTAGACTAAACTCAAGTGGATTTTTAAAGTACATAATTTGGTGG